CATTAAGTGAAAGTTCTTAACAATACCTTTGATAAATAGCAGTTGCTGGGCAATCTGTACTCATTCATGACCCAATCCGTTTTGCTCCCTCGTGGAGCTCTTCCTCTGTAGAAAACCATGGTTTTTCTATGACCCAACAACCTTTTCGGATCCATCAAGCATCGGATGGGCCGGTCCGAACCAGTTGCCTTCCAGTAACCTTTCTCGGTTGTCCTCCTGGGTCTCCCAAGAACGCTCTCCCTGTGCACAAGGAAATACCACTCCCTCTCTCCTATCTTCGATAATCCTGTATTAATCAAACGAAGCCCAGGTCAGCAATATTTTTTATGCATGCTCGAAGTAGAGCAGTGCACATTTTGGCTTAAGAAATATGTATCTACACTTGAACGCATGCAAGAGACAATCCTGTACATGAAATCTGAACATGAAATCGTCCATGAACAACTCCACAGCATCCCTCAAGATAAATTAACATCTGAGAGATTGAAGGAAACACGTTCTAGCAGATATAGCAAGCTCCCAGAAAATAAGACAAAAAACTGGAGAGGCAAATGATAGATAATATGACAGTAGCAGTACCTGGCAAGTCCCAAGGTTCGTGATTGTATATGTCGAGGAAACCAATGATATCAGCAGTGTCTTGACCTAAGACAGTCTTTGTAAGGTAGAAATCTAGGAGTTCTTCTTCTGTTGGGTGGAATCGAAAACCTGGGAGCTCATCAAACTCCATTTTTTTTTTTTTTTGTGATATTTCTAAGGTGATAAAATAGTTGAGTGACTTCTAGAGCTTGTCAAGAGTACACAAAAGCTAGAGAGTATAGCTCAATCAATTAATTTATCTATCGCAGGTTCCCTATTTATATATGCATGAAAAATGTTTGGTGGAACTTGAAGATGAAAAATTGTAGTAAAGATCCTATGAAAAATGGCGGGTCTCACACGGTGTGTGAAAGACTTTAGACAGGAAAAGGACCATTTTCATTGCTCGACCAAGACTTGACTTCAAATGTCCAATAATTGAAAGAAAAATTATGGAAACACCTCGAATAGCCTTCGTTTCCTACCACATTTCTTGGATCGGTGGCTCCGAACTTCATTGCAACTTCCTGTTGAGAGTGTGATTTATTGTTTTTTAAAGTGATTTTTTAAATATATTAAAATAATATTTTATTTTTATTTATAAGAATTATTTTTAATATTAATACATTAAAATAATTCAAAAATATAAAAAAAATTAAATTTAAATTAAAAAATTAATTTTTATAAAACGAAATATAATTTTAAAAAACACTAAAAACAACTTGATTTTCTAAAAAATTTAAATTTGTGGCAATTTTAAGAGTTTTACTTCCATACGAAGTAATAATAATATCCTAGCCCGTAACAATCTAAGTAATGATCAAGTGGTAAGAACTTGAGACTAAAGGGTTTGTTTTCTCTGTAATCTCAGGTTCGAGTCTTTGATTGTTTATATGATGGCTACCAGAAACTTACATAGTTGTTAACTTCAAGACTTATAGAATTAGTCATGGTGCGCGCAAACTGGATCAGACATCCATATTAATCTAAAAAAATAATATCCTAGCTCGTCTTATATTTAATATAATTCATCAATTCCTTTTACTTATTTATTTATTTATTTACATTTATTTAAGAACAACATAAATAAAAGAAAAAAACTACTCTGACTTTCAAATACTGAAACTAGAAACAACTTTGTCTTTAAAATAAACTTTACGACCTCACTTTCAAATTTTGAACAAAAATAATAAAATATCCCATGATTCTTTTTCTTTCTTTCCTTTTCTTTTCCCCCTCTCTTCCCCTTCTCCTTCTTTCTTCTATCCCTTCCCTTTTCTCTCTTTATCTGCGTAGTTTCGCTAAACTGTCGTCGTTGAACTATTTCTGTTGCTGAACTCTGAAACAACAATGGCTGATAGATGATGCAAATTATCTTGGAAATGGTAATGATAAAGACACACCGGACCAATTTGGAAGAATTGTCTTTAAATGATAACAATTTCGGAGGGTTGCTACCTAAAATGGTTTTGAACTTCTCAGAAAACCTATAGAGAACAACCATGGAAGAAACCAAATACTTGGAAGTATTCCAGTTGATATAGGAGATCTCAATGGCTTAACTTGACTCGCGTGATTACAGATTCTATTGGTAAATTACAAATTAAACATGGGTGTACCGGAACTTGGTGGAAAAAAAAAATTCCGGTAACATCCCATCTCTGATGAGGAATATTAACTCCTTGTCAGCGTTCATTTACATGGAAATAATTTAAAAGGGAGAATCCCACCAAATCTTGGAAATTGCCTCAACTTGTTGTCTTTGACTGTCGAACAAAAACAATTTGACTGGTCAAGTCCCAAGTTCTTGAGAGAATTGAAGTTGTTAGGTTTGGATCTTTTATTGTTTAGAAATTTCATGATTTTTTTAAAAAATATTTAATTTAAATTAATATATTTAGGATTTTTTAGATTTTTTTAATATACTGAAATAAAAAATATTTTAAAAAATAAAAAATATTATTTTTATATATTTATAAAAAAAATATCTTAAAATAAAATTATTATTACAATGCACCACCTAATTGCTACCACCTAATTGCTTGAGGTGCCTACGGAGGATTATTTGTAAATAATTGAGTTTCTCACTATTAAAAGCAATATGTTTATTATAGGTTTGTTATGTTGATTAATAACAACACCAATTCTATTATTCAAAATATCATATTTAACTTCAACAACTTTTTGAAAATATAGTAGCGAAAAAATAGGTGCATTAGTCATTTTTTACTTCACAACTTCAGAACTTTTATTGGCTTTATTAGTTCACTTTCCAAATATTTGATTATTACTAAATTTTTTTATGAGACACTAATAAAAGGATGCTAAACTAAGAAAACTCTGAATTTCATGAAGAGTTTGAGGAGATTGTTAGTTGAGAATTGTTTTAATATTTTTAGGATCTATTTTCTCTAAAAATAACTTTTGACCACTAAAAATAATAAAACCGAAGAACACAAGGCTGCTAAGAAAGAATTCATACCTTTTCAAACTAGCATATAACTTTTGACTGCTAAAAATCTAATTTTTTCATTGCAAGTGATTATGATGCTTTTCTTTATCGTTGTTATAAATAAGAATACCATCAAAGTATATACTAATGAATCTACCAATAAAAAGTTTAAACACCATTTATCATTCAAATGAAAGTACTATAAGCATTTGAGAGGTTAAATGGCATAACTATCTATTCATAAATGTTATCTCTAGTTCTGAAAGTTGTCTTTAATTAACCACTAACTTTCATTCGAATTTGATGATAATCACTTTTAAGATCAGTCTTTGAAAAGATAGTAGTACTATAAAGTGGATATATCAAGTCATTTAGTTAGGAAATATAGAATTAGTAGCCAATAATGATTTTATTCATCGCTAGACTATTAATACACATTCTCGACAATCCATTAATCTTTGGAAAAAAATAAAGGATAATATAACACATGATTTTTTACTTTACTTTCCTTTATCAAACCTATGAATATCAACTTGTTAACTTGCCTTTATAACTTTGCATGCTTGATTAGACTCATTTGATAGGCTGCTTCGTTTGGAATTATAATATCTAAAATAAAGTTAATATAATATTGAATATCACTCATTGGATAAAGGATATATGATATTTCTTTAGGAATCAAATTAAAAAACTTATCAAGCAGAGGTTGCTCATTTGGATGAAACTCTTTTGGAGAATGAAGTACAACCCCAATTGGAAGAATCCTTTTTAAATATTAATTTCCATCCAATCTTTCTAACCTCATTTTATTGTTTCTTCATATTCAAAGCAAGTTTTATCACATTATTGAATATCCAATAAGGTTATTATCAAACCACATTATACATTTCTTCATTTAACCCATCTAAGTATTGAGTTATTGTTTGTTTTTTAGTTTTAATAATATCACATTTTAGCATGAATAATTTAAACTTCATTATGTACTTTTCCACAATCATACCAAATTACCTTAAGTTATGAAACTTGAGAAATGTTTCTTGCCTATAATATTTATATAAGAATTTCCTCTTAAGTTCCATTTTTATTTTCTCCAAATACTTAATCTTGCTTTTGGCTTCACTAGCTCTTTGCTTTTTAAATTTTTCTCACCATAAGAATGTATACTTTCTAAGTTTTAGGGTCACCAACTTGACCTTTTTATTTTCAAGAAACCTATGAAATTGAAAATCCTCTTCATGATTCTAAGCCAATCAATAAACTTTTTAGGTTGCATTTTCCCTGCAAATTTTAGATTATCAACTCTCACATCATATTTTCAATAAGGTCTTTTATTTCTTCTTCTTCGGTGTTAAGATATTGAAGAATAATTGCTAGATGGTTCATGGTGAGGTTTGTGATGGAAAAGATTAACATCATCCTCGTGGCTACTAGAAGAGCCAATTTCATTTGTACTGGACACCTTATTGCTAACATCACCTCCTTATATTTTACGAAGGAACTACCCGCCAATCATAGCAGATGTTTCCAGTTTAGCCCTTTAAAGCACGTATCTTTTGCTGGCATATAAATTTTTTGATAGAGATTAGCTTGGTATTTGTAATGTAAGTTCACTTTGATCTTGGCTTTGAATCACTGACGATGTTGCTGTTTCACATCGCATTTGCATTGCTTCTCTTGATAAGTATCATGCTGCCTTTAATTTTCACAATAATTTGCTTGGGTTTCTGTTCCTATCACTTTTGTCACAGATGCAATCCCTATTTTTTTTCCAAGAACATTGCGCACTCAATCAAAATCAGCCCGCGGCAACACATGCGCCATCTATCAAAGATTAAATTGCTAGTGTTGAAATTAACACAGATTTGAGCAGCAAAGCTGTGGAACCACTGACATGACCCATGGGCTGTTACGTTGTGTAAAACTCTAACTGGCCCAGATCCATCATACTCATCGTCCTAAGACCCCCACAAAACCCTAATCTGAAAGCAAACAAGGACAGCAGAGGCACAAACAAAAACAGCATCATCATCATCAAGAACAAAGCTGCGGGAATGGGAAAATTCCCACCTTCATTCCGCTCTGCAATCTCATCGACATCACTCATCAAGAACACACCCTCTCAGCAGCAACAACAACCCCATTACTTTCCCAAGAAACTCACCAAGAAAAATTCCCCCAAACCCCATGAAACTCAAACCCCACCACCTCAAAAATCACTCTTTAAAACCTCATCTCTAAATGAAGCTAAAAGTCTCTTCAATTCCTTCATTTCAACTACAAAAGCCCCGCTACTAGACAACCTTCGTTTGCACAACTCTTTCCTTCAATCCTACACTTCAATCTCCACCCTTGATGATTCCATTTCTCTTCTTGATCACATGGTCAAGACCCTCCCTTCTTTATCCCCTGACCGATCCACTTACCATGTTTTGCTTTCACAGTCTTGCAGAGAACCTGATAGTCCTCTATCTTCTGCTCAGAAAGTTTTGAACTTGATGGTTAATAAGGGGTTTAAGCCTAATCAATTTACTGTTGATGTCGCAATTAGGTCTCTGTGCTCTGTTGGGAGAGTAGATGATGCTATTTTATTGGTAAAGGAATTTTCTTCGAAGCATTCAAAGCCTGATACTTTTACTTATAATTTTCTTGTTAAGTGTTTATGTAAGAGTAGGATTTTCAACAGTGTTTATAGTTTCATTGATGAAATGAAGAGTAGTTTTGATATAAAGCCTGATCTTGTCACTTATACCATATTGATTGATAATGTTTGTAATGCAAAAAATATTCGTGAGGCTGATAGATTGGTGGCTGTGTTAAAGGAATGTGGGCTAAAGCCAGATGCTTTTTTGTACAATACGATTATGAAAGGTTACTGTTTGTTGAATAAAGGTATTGAGGCTGTTAGGATTTATAAACAGATGAAAGAGGAAGGAGTGGAGCCTGATCTTGTTACATATAATACTTTGATTTTTGGGTTGTCAAAGTGCGGGAGAGTTAGTGAAGCTAAGAAGCTTTTGAAAATTATGGTTGAATCAGGCCATTTTCCTGATGCAGTTACATACACCTCATTGATGAATGGGATGTGTAGAGAAGGGGATGCATTGGGTGCGGCAGCGTTGTTGGAGGAGATGGAATTGAAAGGATGTAGTCCAAATTCGTGTACTTATAATACGCTGCTTCATGGATTTTGCAAAGGGAGAATGTTGAATAAGGGTGTTGAATTGTATGGGGTGATAAAAAAGGGTGGTATGAAGCTTGAGACAGCTTCTTATGCTACGTTTGTGAGAGCTCTTTGCAGGGAGGGCAGAGTTGCAGAAGCTTATGAGGTATTTGACTATGCAGTAGAGAGCAAGAGTTTAACTGATGTAGCTGCTTACACTACATTGGAGAGTACACTGAAGTGGTTGAAGAAAGCGAGAGAGCAAGGTCTTGCTGTATAGATGGTATGTTGTTTACTACATTATTAATTCTGTTTTCTTAGCTTTTCTTATTGCTACCTGTCTCATTCGTGTCATGGTAGCTAATGCATCATAGACGAAAACGATTCTTTTATGGGTAAATGCACTAGCTAGTCCCTGCTTTTTGTTTTTGGTTGGAATGCAATGTGCCAAACTTGTACTTGGGGTGCTTCTGCTTGAAAATGATTTGTTCTTGGTGACCCCGAGAATAAACAACACAATAGATTGAAACTGTATTTGATTTAGTTTGCCACATGTGAATAGCTGAAGGAAGAAAGTTCTTGAAGATGAAATAAATGTTATGCTGACAGAAAGAAAGGGAATGTTAAAGTTTCTAATTTCCACAAAAATTTCTAATGATTGGGAAACTGTAAGTAAATAAATCAGAAGATAGGGCATCAAGCAGGACAGCTTCCTGTTTCTTTGGAAACGATTATGCTTGTTGAGATAGCTTGCACAGTTTTTCCATTAATTGAAGTTTGTGTTACCAGCTAATGACAATCGCACCTCTGTCCAAGAAGAATTAAATCTGGCTCTGTTAAATTTTAGTCTCAGTGCTCGACTCTCATTTTGTGTGCATGTCTCCTAGAACAATGATACTGGCTCTCTGTAAAGCCTCGATGAAGTCCATGGTTTGACATTAATTCTGGGTTCTTCTGTGCACTTAGCTATATCTAATGCTGGTACTTTAATATGGCTTCCTTGTTGTTTTTCCAATAACTGCTTGTTATCTTTAAAAAGTTGGATCCAATTTTGACTCCTTGTTCTTCAAAATATCTTTCAAAATTTCAGAAAATGTGTTTTCGGCCATCTGCGCTCCCATTTTACGATTCTAAATGTGTTTTAAAATCAAAATCCAAAGAATATATTGTTGGCGCATTTGCGTCATTTTCTTGATCTTCAACTTCTTTTTGAAAAAATCAAAATTAAAAATTTTTTTGCTTTCGATGTGTTTAAATATTAACACTTCCATTCCAAAATCCTCCATTAACTGCTCTCTTCAACTTTTCTTTTTAAATTGATATTGATGTTTATTTTAAAAATACAACAAAAAAAGGAGATGAAAAAAAAATCAAAATAGATAGAAGAAATGGACTCAAGTCCAAGAATGAGAGATCAAAATAAAATCAAGTTGGTTTGGGGGAGGCCATTCTAAAGAGCCCAAGGAGGGCTACTGAAAGATAAAGATGAGGAGGAGACCATCTCTCCCACATACCAGAAAACCTGATCTTTATTTTTCCATAAGAAGGAACACGCAACCATAAAACAAAAAATCGGCTCTCTCAGAAGAAAACAACCACCCTCTCATCTTCTTCCAATTAGCCCTGAACACCATTTTCTTCTCACCTTGTCCCCAGCCACCGCACTGTCGACTGCCACATCACCGGGGGTTTCTACCTCGCAAACGCTGACAGCTTCCCGCGCGGACAATAGCCCACACCAGCTGTGATCCCACACCACTGTAGCAGGTTTCCATCTCTGTCAGCCATACGTCCTCCAGCCTCCCTCCTAAAAAACAACCATGGTGATAGATCCCTTTTCTCACCTGCCATTAGCTTCTCTCACGACGGCTTTCATCTTCCCAACAGACGCCACCTTTCATCTCCTCCTCACCGACGTTATCAGCCCTTGTAATAGTAACTATTGTTCAGCCATTGTCTTCCTAAAAAAACCCACTCCATTGTCTCGGCTCTCCATTTCTTAAGCTATCAAATCAGCCTCCTTTAACCCAATCTCACGCAGCCCTCGAATCATTTTCCTTTCCAATCCAAAAACTTCAACTCGACCTCGTCCCTCTTAGTCCAAATGTGCCTGGAAATAGGTCCAAATCATAGCCTCACAACAACCCGAAACATGGCCACTTGAAATAAAGCCCAAAAACATCTCAGCGACCAAAAACACCAAAGACCCATTGTTTCTTTAATGAGATTCTTTTCCAGTCGTGATAACAAAATCATTTTGGAAAAATATTTTTCAAGGAAACATTAGACATTTTTTGATATTAAAAACATGTATAGGGTAATGATTTTTTTTTTTAATACATAACCAACTATTGAGTAACACTAACTAGATGGAGACTTATTTTTCTACTTTTATCCTTTCTAGATGTTAGTTCCCCCGATGTCCCTGCCACATCAGGGATCATAATGCCTTCTTTCCTCGTTGCTTTAACTGGTACACTTCATTTTAGTCATGATGCTTGCCGTGCTTTGGCTACAAATGTTCCAAACTTACGCTTAAAGTTTAATTTGTTCAGCCGTCCTTAATTGGTACACCATAACATGCTGTTCAGCTATGCAATCTGAACAGTAACATGTTTCTTTCCTGTTATTTTCTCTACCAGCTCTCCTGAGCTCAAGGTTTTGTGGTTCAATTTAAGGCAGGAGCTGTCAACAAGGCTTCGTTGGCCAGAAAAAAAAAAAAACAGAATATAGACATTAAATGGGCATAAATGGTGGTTTTAGAGAAAGACGAAGTGCTAAGGCTGCATGATGATTCTGCAAAGGTGGCGATAATAATAATCTTGAAGCTTCCAACATGTGTGAAATTAATGCTTGATAGACTATAGAGACAACTCTTTGACCACCTCATCCATTAACGACCATTAGGAGCTGCCAAAATGTATTGCTTAATTTTCACTTTTGATGGAGAGATAAAATCTCAATGAATCCCACCTGGACCACCTGCGTTGCTTACCATCAGTCTTGATCTTGTATTTAGTGTTTCAGTATATCAGTGTGTGCAAGTTTTGTTGAAGTTAATTTTCAATTGATTACAATGCATAGCAAATCTCGAATATGTTGGAAATCCTTAAAAGTTGATGTCTTCGGAACATTTATCTCACCCATTTTCTTTCCCTTCTTAATTTCAATGGTCAATGACAGAGCATTTTGTTAACTTTTGGGCTAGAATACTCTGAATAGAAGCTAGTAGTATTTTGTGATGTAATGGCAATGTTCTATGTTGTATTATCTCAATATGTTTGAGATCTTCATTGTGCCGGTGACTGTTGCAATTCGAGCAACATTAAGGTGCTTTTTTCTTGTTTGTGTTGATTTCTTGCTGATATCTTTTATCATGAGATGTTGCAGCCCTTGCATCCCCCTTAACCAAGTTTCTCATATACAAGGCTACTGGCCTTGTGGCCACTAAGATAGGCAAAAGATATGACAGCCTTCAATGTGAATATCATACATGTACACCTAGCCTTCTTAGCACCATTGGGCTGTATGAGATATTGACCCACCTTTGAAAAACACCGCAACGTTCTTTAGTGAATCAAAGATTTGATAGGGTGTCTTCTTGCAGATTGATGTGTTCATTTTAGTGAAAACATATTGGGATGGAGCTCAACTTCCTTCAGATTTCACAGAAATGCATCTAGTAGCCAGTGCAGTATTGTGAGTTTGTGATGTGCTTCGTATTTATGATTTTGAATTCCAGTAACGAAATCTTGAGAAATCTGTAGTGGTGAATTCGGCATCGTGTGTGGGCAAGTCCAAAAGCAAAAAAACGTTTGTGTGAGGCCGAAATTTAGACGCAGAGCTTGCAGAACATGTTTTAGGCGAAACGGATGCTCACAGACTTGGGACTTCAAATCCTAAATGGGCTCCAAAAGGGATGACTCCCAAGGTGGACAGCCCAAAACAGGTGAAAAGTGAACGTTTTAGAATCACAATCTCCGCTTGTGCACAAGGCATGATTGATATTACAGTGAATTAAATGTTTGAAATTGTATTTAAATGATTTTTTTAGATTTTATTTTATTTTTATATCAGTATCTTAAAATATTATAAAAAATATATTAATTTGATGTTTTTTAAGGTAAATGTATAATCTATATAATCTATTCTTTTTATTAAACGTTGAAATAAAAATTTGTTTGAAAATATAAATGTAGTTGTTTTTTAAAATGTTTTTAACTCAAAAAATATGTCAATAATTTTTTTATTTTTTAAAAATTATTTTTAAGATTATCATATCAAAATAATTTGAAAACATAAAAAATATATTAATTTAAAAAAAAAATTAAATTTTTTTGAAAATGCTTTTAAGAAGCACTCCCAAACGCCATCTAAGTATGTTCATGGGGTAATTCAAAATTTATTGGTGTTTTACATTACAAAACTTCCTTGCTCGCGTTGTCAAAATTTCATACATGATACATTGGTTTATGTCTGGAAGGAGAAAAAAAAACCAGTAAACAAAAAACATAAAGCTTAATACTGTCCTTGTTTCCCAATATTGATTTATTCTACATGATGCAAACCTTTATGCCATATGGTGCACATTATTACGGAATTCAGTGTCCATGTGGATCATAGTATATGATGAATTTGGAATGAGATCAAATTCACGCAATGTGGGTTAGGACAACCTTGGATTCTTGTACCCCCTAAAAGGGTCTTCTCTGTCATGCAAGATCGTCTCGTTTTGTCTTTCCTCCACATGGTTAATTGATTAGGTATCTCGATGAATTATTGGTTCTTTGAAACCAACTAGTCATGGAATCGCCAGCCTTTCATGTTCATTACCTTCTTGCAAACGATATAATTGAAAATTTTGGCCAGTTTTACAGCTACGAGCCATCAATGATTAGGGGAGGCAAGAAGGTACATGATTCACAAATTGTCATGGATATTACCAATAATAAAACGAAACCCTATCTAGTATTGTTGCCCATTTCATGACCTCAAGATTAAAGAAAAACTTTTAGGTTTGTAGTTTGCTGGCTAAAATTGTTACAAGAATCTTGCGACTGTAGGGTGAACAGCATTGCCATCACATGGACCTACTTCTTTGATATTGAATTAGCCAATAAATTCATCATATATCACCGTCGTGTTCATATAAATAGGATAGGCCATAATCTCCATTCAAAGCATTCACCTTGTGAACTTTTTGATATTCAGCATTTGCATAGCAAGTGAAGATGGCAAGCTTATCTCCAATTGATTCTGCGCACCACCCTGTTAGGTCCATTAGCTTGCCTTCTAGGTCACATCCGAATTCTCTCAAAGTCGAAGCTCAGCTAACAAAGCTAAGAACTTGGGAATCATCTACAAATCCTTTAAGAGCTGAAACTATTCAAATGAGTTTGACTAAGCTAGCAGAGTTGTTTAATTGCATTCAAGACCTCATTCACTCACCACTCACACAACAAGCTTTTCATCATCAACATTTAAGTCATGTGGAAGGAGCAATTGAGGGTTCGGTTGGCTTGTTAGACGTGTGTAGCACGGTAAGGGATTTGTTCTTGACAATGAAAGAACATGTCCAGGACATGCAGTCCCTGCTACGAAGGCGCGGGGCTAGAGATTCAAGCATCGAAAGCAACGTTCTTGCTTACGTTAGCTTCAGAAAGAAGACAAAGAAGGAAATCACCAGGTCCATTAGAGCATTGAAAAGATCCGAAAGCAATGTTAATGGATCCTACCGTCCCTGCACGGAGATAGATAACCAGCAGTCATATGTGATCGAGGTTATAAATGAAGCAAGGGCTATCGCTATTTCAATCTTCCGATCTCTAG